TACAGTCGACCCCCCTATAATTACGGTCCCTATAATTACGATTCCTATAAAACTACGAAAAAATATACGTATTTTGGAAATGTTGAGTCGGATTAGTGTAGAATCGATTAATTTTATGGAAGAAAATCTTTCAAACAGCCGTAGTCCGTAAACTTGACACGTGTTGGGCTGTGATTGGAACGACTTGTAAGAAATCGGATTCCTAATAAATTGGAACGTATCTATATCTTATAGGGGGGTCGACTGTACAGGCAAAGCCATTTGTAAATAAAACATGAATAAGCAGTACTTGAAAGTCAGTGAGTAGCTTTCATTTGCTTTAATGTAGTTTTGAAGTAAAAATCAATACTGTATATAAATACAAATAGCAATGATAGTCAGTAATATTTGCTCTCATTTGATTTTTTATTTCATATTTCACTATTATCTTGACTTGAGATATGATCTTTTCATTTTTGAATATTTATTTTTCCTATATCTATTAACTTTATTAATTTGCATAAATGAAATCTTTTATAAAAAGTCCAAATGGATGTATTTAAAGAATTGCCTAAATCTAGAGACAGTTGTTCAGTAGATTTTCTGAATAAAATTATATTAAAATTTATCTCTATATTAAATATAGCTTATATATATAAGTATTATACAGTGGGTGATCAGTTAATGAACATAATTCATTCCAAGACTTTGTTCGTTAACAGATTATCAATTTACCATAGGTTTTTATGAGAATTTGATTAATTTATTCTGGAAACTCCAAAAAATAAAAAATATATACTTTCTTACTATGTTTATTTATATGTAATAATAAAAATACATATATACAGTCTTGAATTTTTATTAGTCGTGTTTTTTCCATTTGTGGGAGTTAAAGAATCTGTCTAATGTTGATTGCTTTTCTCTCTTCTTCAGGATTTTTCAAAAGTAATTAATAGCATTGATTTGTAGAGATCCCCAAGCCTATCAACTTTAACCTGGTTCGGATGCTATTCTAAGACCGTTGTTCTGACATCCTCCCACTACTTCAAAATATCTTTAATAGCAGATGTCGGCATTATTCCTTTTTTTCAGAAGAAAACGTTTTATATCTTGACGAGTTTCTTGGTGTTCTTCATTCAAGAGTTCTTGGCATTCTTCTGTCATCAGATCAGTTTCAGGTTCCGTTATGAGCTCTTCAATGTTCTTTATTTCTCAGATGTAATTTTTGTTACTCCTTTAGCTGCTTGAGTTTTCTTGATTATACTGTATCTTTCTTAAATAAGATTGAACTGCAGCCTACTGTAGACCTGTTCAAGCTATACTACCCAGCAACATCAGACATTGTCTGCCCACTCTCTGCCTTTGCTCTTATACTCTCGCCTTTCGAAGATAAAAATTGATGCAAAACTTAATGGGTGCTCACCCGACAGTCTTGTGAATACTATAAAAAAAATTGTTTGTCAGAAAAATAAAATGCTGGAATTATAAGGGAGAGTTCAAAGTTTGGAGGAATACTATCTGATCAGTACATACAAGATTGAGCGTTGATGTTGACATCTCACGTGCTCTGAAAAGTTTTGAATTGTTGCCTGAAGACAAGGGAAGATCAATTGGTATTCATTATTTTACATCGCTTCTTCTTGTGTTTGTTCTGTGAGGTGTTTGTTGTCAAACATAAAAATCTTTCAAGAAAGTGTTCGTTATCTGATTTGTTCATAGTCCAAACTGTTCATTAACCGATCACCCACTGCATTTAAAACTATAGATCTCAAATGATAGCTTATATTTTTTTAAAAATTTCTAAAAATAACACAGAAAAATAACTTGGTTAAACTATTCTGCCGGATTTGTATAAAAGTAAATTTATCAAGTTTGCAATTACATTAATATTGAAATTATTTAATTCAGGACCTGTCATGGTGTGTCAGAGGTTGTTCCACTGATGGCGAATAACAACGCGCCTGCTCATGATTTTGCACCAGCTTGGCTTAAGATACCCACTTATGAAAACTTTGTAAGTAATTTTTTTTTAATTATTTCTCTTGGAATAGAAATGCAATCTAATCATTTTTATGATGCAGTTAATTTAATTTTTATTAGTAAAACATAAATCATAAATTATTTAGTTACATCAATTACAAATTGGTTAAACAGCAGTTATAATTAGTAAATTTAAAGAGTTATTAAAATGTGATGTTTTTTTATATTTAATGAAATAACATACACTATATTAACAAATTACAGACAACTCTTGTGCTGTTTAAAAAAAAAAATAAATAAATTCCTTTTATTAATTATAAAGAAAAATTTTTCTTTTCAGTAAGACAAAATAATGTCAAATTAAAATTCATACACTTTTCATTGTTCATACAAATTTAAGGTTTACATATCATATTTTTAATTTTTAAAATTTTGTTGGTATTCTATACTTTATAATAGCTTTCAGTCTGTCTGGTATGGCTGTTTTTTCACATCACAAATATAATATTGTAACATATTGTTTGTAGCATTATAATAACAATGTAACACTAAATAAACATTAAAGATTGCACTTAAGCTAAAATAATAACTTGTTTTTGCTGTTTGTATACAGAATGCTCTACTGCTCAAATTCAGAAATATTTATATTTGATATCATGATTTATTGTTTAAAATATATTAAAAATAATTTATTATTCAAGTAATCTTGCAATGCTGGTTTACTAAAGGATGCATTTAGTTTGTTTTAAATGTGCTCTGAATCATATTGCATAAAAGTATTCAATTTGTAAAAGTTGGAATTAAAACATTTGAAGATCAAGATTAAATATTTCAAAAATATTAGTTGTAGAAGTCCTATTTATTATTTTATAAAAGCATTTTTATTTATTTTAAGTAATAAACAAGGCTAATCAATTAGATATTCAATTTGAACTAAAGGCAGGTGGTTAAGTTGCCATCTTGTGTTTAAACTTAAAGTAATTACTTTCTAATTATTAAATTTAACACAAGATTGCAGATCTAACTATACACCTTTAATCTGAATTACATAAAATCTTAATAATTAATCATGCTATGACCTCATTAAAATCAGCAGAATTATTTATGACGACATCAGGCTTGGTCTATATAAAATTATTTTAAGTAATTTTTGTATATTAAAGTTTGTCTATTTATATAGATTTAAACAGAAATTATTATTGTTTGTATACACTTTGAACTTTTTCACAAAAGTACAGTTGACACCCCCCTATGACATGGTAGATATGTTCCAGTTTTTATGAATCCATTTTCTACGAGTCCAGCCAATCAGCCTGGCACGCATGCAGTTTACGGACTACGGCTGTTTGAAAGGTTTTCTTCCATAAAATTAATCGATTCTAGACTAATTCGACTCAACATTTCCAAAATACGTATAATTTTTTGGGAATAATCCATATAAACTATGCTATAAACAAAAAATTGTAGGATTACTTACCAAGTGTGCACCGTTCGACTATGCCATTGCTTAAGCTTGTTTTCGTCGTGGAGCTTGTCATCGAATGATGCTCGCGTGCGTCCTGATAAATTTTTTTTTGCAAAAAATTCACTGAACTTTGGAGACATCATTAATATAAATATAATTTTTATGGACGTTAAATAATAAATGGATTTTAGTAGGTCCGCTGTTCTGTTTGTACAATATCCGCTATTGGTCTAGATTCGACTAATCCTGTCGTGACACGAGTCGGTGATGACGTTTTACTGAATTATAAGAGTTTTTTTTAGCATGCTTGTACAAATACTGTCTCAATTTTTTCACTGTAATATAGGAATCTAAACTATAGGGATATAATATAATAATAATGTAATATAGGAACCCGTGTTATAGGGGGGGTTGACTGTATTTGGTACAATAGATGAAAAGATTGTTATTGATGCCATTTATCAAATCAAATTGCAGTTGATATAGTTCTGCTTGTGGGCAACAAATGAATTGTAAAAATTGTTTGTATATTGAATGTTACTGAAGAATATGGAATATGATTGAATGCTAACAAGACAAAAGCACTGACTATAAGGAAAGCAAGATTCAGTTTTTATATATAAGGAAAATCATTGCAGTTTATTGTAAATGTAATAATAAATAAGTAAAATGGAAAAAGAAAGGAACATTTGTGGCAGAACTGTCTAAACTGCATTGAAAATGTGAAATAACTACTAAATGATAAGCTTTTTATTGTTTTGCTTCATTTTTATTTATTTACCAAACAACAACAATAAAATATATAATAATAATAGTAAATGCTAAAATGAATTCAAAATTAAATAGGAAAAGATTTTAATGTCCATAATATTTGTAGTATAATTCTTCAAAAAGCCACCCGGAGAAGAACCACTTGAGATGAGCTCAATGTGGCAACAAGGTTCTTAGCCACAGTGGTTGCCACCAGATGTAGAGTAAATAATAAATAAAGTAATTGCTGCTAATGTCGTCATTGTTTACTTCACTAACAAAGTTGTATGCATGCATCTGTTTTATTGGATATTGTCTACTGTATTCTATAATACAGATTTAAGAGTTGATCACTTTTTATTCACTTTAAAAAATTAACATATGCTAAAATTGACAGTTGGTATCTAAATAGTTCTGAGAAACATTATGTAGATAGGAATTATTGGAAAATTGTCAGCTTTTAAGATAAAAGTTCAAAGAACAGCCTAATATTGATAATATCAGTGTGGATTGATGTAAGAAAATGAACAGAGAACTAAAAAAGTGAGGCATACATATACTTTTCAGTATTTCAGAAATATGTTAACAGATGAATATGTATGCAGTGCAGAAAAGATTTTTCATGTTTTTTAAAAAGATGCTCTTAGTAAGTTTAAACGAAGGAAAAGTTTGCAACTGCAAATAGAAATCACAGGTAACATACATCATCACAGAACTACTTTCAAATTCACTTATAAACACAAATAATTCATAAGATTATCTGCACAAAATTATAATACATGGGAAAGATTATTTGTATTAATAATTCNATAAATTCCTTTTATTAATTATAAAGAAAAATTTTTCTTTTCAGTAAGACAAAATAATGTCAAATTAAAATTCATACACTTTTCATTGTTCATACAAATTTAAGGTTTACATATCATATTTTTAATTTTTAAAATTTTGTTGGTATTCTATACTTTATAATAGCTTTCAGTCTGTCTGGTATGGCTGTTTTTTCACATCACAAATATAATATTGTAACATATTGTTTGTAGCATTATAATAACAATGTAACACTAAATAAACATTAAAGATTGCACTTAAGCTAAAATAATAACTTGTTTTTGCTGTTTGTATACAGAATGCTCTACTGCTCAAATTCAGAAATATTTATATTTGATATCATGATTTATTGTTTAAAATATATTAAAAATAATTTATTATTCAAGTAATCTTGCAATGCTGGTTTACTAAAGGATGCATTTAGTTTGTTTTAAATGTGCTCTGAATCATATTGCATAAAAGTATTCAATTTGTAAAAGTTGGAATTAAAACATTTGAAGATCAAGATTAAATATTTCAAAAATATTAGTTGTAGAAGTCCTATTTATTATTTTATAAAAGCATTTTTATTTATTTTAAGTAATAAACAAGGCTAATCAATTAGATATTCAATTTGAACTAAAGGCAGGTGGTTAAGTTGCCATCTTGTGTTTAAACTTAAAGTAATTACTTTCTAATTATTAAATTTAACACAAGATTGCAGATCTAACTATACACCTTTAATCTGAATTACATAAAATCTTAATAATTAATCATGCTATGACCTCATTAAAATCAGCAGAATTATTTATGACGACATCAGGCTTGGTCTATATAAAATTATTTTAAGTAATTTTTGTATATTAAAGTTTGTCTATTTATATAGATTTAAACAGAAATTATTATTGTTTGTATACACTTTGAACTTTTTCACAAAAGTACAGTTGACACCCCCCTATGACATGGTAGATATGTTCCAGTTTTTATGAATCCATTTTCTACGAGTCCAGCCAATCAGCCTGGCACGCATGCAGTTTACGGACTACGGCTGTTTGAAAGTTTTCTTCCATAAAATTAATCAATTCTAGACTAATTCGACTCAACATTTCCAAAATACGTATAATTTTTGGGAATAATCCATATAAACTATGCTATAAACAAAAAATTGTAGGATTACTTACCAAGTGTGCACCGTTCGACTATGCCATTGCTTAAGCTTGTTTTCGTCGTGGAGCTTGTCATCGAATGATGCTCGCGTGCGTCCTGATAAATTTTTTTTTGCAAAAAATTCACTGAACTTTGGAGACATCATTAATATAAATATAATTTTTATGGACGTTAAATAATAAATGGATTTTAGTAGGTCCGCTGTTCTGTTTGTACAATATCCGCTATTGGTCTAGATTCGACTAATCCTGTCGTGACACGAGTCGGTGATGACGTTTTACTGAATTATAAGAGTTTTTTTTAGCATGCTTGTACAAATACTGTCTCAATTTTTTCACTGTAATATAGGAATCTAAACTATAGGGATATAATATAATAATAATGTAATATAGGAACCCGTGTTATAGGGGGGGTTGACTGTATTTGGTACAATAGATGAAAAGATTGTTATTGATGCCATTTATCAAATCAAATTGCAGTTGATATAGTTCTGCTTGTGGGCAACAAATGAATTGTAAAAATTGTTTGTATATTGAATGTTACTGAAGAATATGGAATATGATTGAATGCTAACAAGACAAAAGCACTGACTATAAGGAAAGCAAGATTCAGTTTTTATATATAAGGAAAATCATTGCAGTTTATTGTAAATGTAATAATAAATAAGTAAAATGGAAAAAGAAAGGAACATTTGTGGCAGAACTGTCTAAACTGCATTGAAAATGTGAAATAACTACTAAATGATAAGCTTTTTATTGTTTTGCTTCATTTTTATTTATTTACCAAACAACAACAATAAAATATATAATAATAATAGTAAATGCTAAAATGAATTCAAAATTAAATAGGAAAAGATTTTAATGTCCATAATATTTGTAGTATAATTCTTCAAAAAGCCACCCGGAGAAGAACCACTTGAGATGAGCTCAATGTGGCAACAAGGTTCTTAGCCACAGTGGTTGCCACCAGATGTAGAGTAAATAATAAATAAAGTAATTGCTGCTAATGTCGTCATTGTTTACTTCACTAACAAAGTTGTATGCATGCATCTGTTTTATTGGATATTGTCTACTGTATTCTATAATACAGATTTAGGAGTTGATCACTTTTTATTCACTTTAAAAAATTAACATATGCTAAAATTGACAGTTGGTATCTAAATAGTTCTGAGAAACATTATGTAGATAGGAATTATTGGAAAATTGTCAGCTTTTAAGATAAAAGTTCAAAGAACAGCCTAATATTGATAATATCAGTGTGGATTGATGTAAGAAAATGAACAGAGAACTAAAAAAGTGAGGCATACATATACTTTTCAGTATTTCAGAAATATGTTAACAGATGAATATGTATGCAGTGCAGAAAAGATTTTTCATGTTTTTTAAAAAGATGCTCTTAGTAAGTTTAAACGAAGGAAAAGTTTGCAACTGCAAATAGAAATCACAGGTAACATACATCATCACAGAACTACTTTCAAATTCACTTATAAACACAAATAATTCATAAGATTATCTGCACAAAATTATAATACATGGGAAAGATTATTTGTATTAATAATTCATAACATGAAATATATTAATATAATAATTTTTCGTGATTCTTAGAAAATCTGATAGTCTCTCTTAAAAAAAATAAAACTGACATGCCGATCAGTTTTATTGTAGCAATCATTTGTTTATCTGAGAGGAACAAATAATATAAAAATGAGTTTTAATATTATTATATTCTGAAGAAACTTAGTGTGTGTTTTATTGTACATATTTTTTTATGCTAACTTCCCACTTTTATCAAACATTAACATCATTAATATAGATAGTCATATGTAAGATTGATCAATTTTAATTAAATATCACAATTATAAATTTTTTTATTTATATATTTTAGTTAACTGGTGCAGATAGTGAGCGAGGTGGACATACTAGCCGAAAAGATGACCATCGAGGATATGGAAGACGAAGTAGAGAAACAGATTCTGTAACTCCTAAGCAACAATATTTTCCAGATACACGGAGAGAAAGAGATAGTAAGTAATTAAAATTAACATTTTTTTGTTATAAAACTTGCAATTATTTTTTCAATTTATTACATCTAAGTTGATCAGAATGCACTAAAATTTTATTAGTCTTTCAACAAAGAATAACAAAAAGAAAAGTTAGTTTATTGTTGAGTTAATATTTATAGTGTTGCCATTGATTCCCAAACTGCCTCTTTGTTCCATAAATACAATTGGACATTAAATACCCAATTGTATTTAATGCCCCAACCTGGTTTCTGTTGTGTGAGAAAAGCTTGGAAATATTCTTAGAAAAGCTTTTTTACAATTGTCACACTGTGTTATTATTGATACCATATGTTGTTCTCCACATTTGGAAACCATTAACGTAATGTATCTTAACTGTTTTAATGGAGAAAGGGAAAAGTCAGTAACCCAACCCTTGCCTAAGGTCACTGTTTGGTCAGGTTTACCTGCTTCCAGTGCCCCCTGCTCCCCTTGCTTCTTTTCACTTCCCTAGATTTATTTATTACCCCCTAGGGGCAGTAACACCCACTTTGGGAACCACTGGTGTATGCATTTCTTATCCTATTATATTAATGTCTTCATCCTAGTTTTATAATGATCTTTAGTTGTAAATCTAAAAAAAAATGCTTGTTTAATCTTTTATGGTATAGCATATTGTGTGGAAATTGAAGAAACTTGCTTCTAGTCAATATAATGATTTAATAACAAAAAATAATTTCCAATTTGAGATTTGAACCTTAAACAGGAAATTATTTGTTTTTATTGTCACGACTAGGTGCATAGACAGACACTGGGCATTTCTACATCATCTTTATTTGGAACATCCTATAGGCTGATACACATTCTGGGCATAAGCCCCTCATCTGTCAGCTACATAATAAAACATATGAATTTCTCATGTTACAAAATGTTTATATTATAATAGGTTACAACATACCATGACTTCCGGGATTTTTTTTGTAGGTGGTGTTGACACGTATACATTTCGTTTAAAATTACTTATTTACAGTTAAAATTGTTTTACTGTTAAAATACCTTTATAGTTTAAAATATATTTACAATTAAAAATACTATTACAGTTAAGGTTAACATCGAACATCATCTATCACATACTCTTGACATCTGTGTTAACGAGGTTCTGTTTAATCTGGTTGGCATATTATCATTTCTTTAAAAAACATTTATACTATAAATTAATCTTTATAATTATTATTACTATTATCATCATTATTATTGCTGTTGATAATAATATTAACATTATTATAATAATTTTAACTAATTGTCATGAATTTTAGTGCTTAAACTTTTGTTGCTGTTATTTTTTTGATTTTTTATTATTTTGTAACTTTCTTTAAATTTTCTTTTGTACTAATTTGTTTCTTTGTGTAAAATTCTCATGTCATCTTTGTTTATATTACAATTGTTTATTGTGCAATGTTCATAAAAAACCGAATTTATCCTTCTACGTTTCAGATTGGCGATATGTTCTTTTAGACGTGTTTCTATTTTCCTTTTAGTTTATCCTATGTAGTTTTTTTGGGTCCTTACAGGTGCATGGTATTGAGTAGACTGCATTCGTTGTGCTATATATTTCTTATGTCTTATTGCTTGGTTCAGGTTTGATTTTCTGTATTTTTTTTTTGCAATTTTTTTGTACGAGATATATGATTTAAATACACACTTATATTTAATACTTTATAAAAATATGTTTATGAATGCTATGATATTGCAATTCTATTTCAAGTCAGTTTATGCTACTAATATTATTATGTTGGGTTTAATGGGTTATACTCGGTTCACACCGGTGGCTCTGTACTATGCAAGACCAGAGTCAAGGCATAGCAACCAAAAACAAAAATTAAATAAATGTGTCTGTATTCAGGAATTTCCTAACAATATGGCATGTATTCAATATAGTGGCCTTCTGTAGTGTAATGTATGTATTTCTATTCAATTGTAATGTTTCCAGGCTTTTATGTAGTATGTCTGGTATCACACCTGTACAGTAGAGAATGACAGGTATTATAAGTATCCTATCCATCCTCTACAGATGCCTTATTTCCTGGGCAAGTTCTGTGTACTTGCTAATTTTTGTCAGTGAATGTGTTTTGTATATTGTGAGTGTTTGGAATGGCTATGTCTATAATGTGTGTGATTTTATTGTGTTTGTCAATGAGTGTGATGTCTGGTCTGTTGTGGTAAATTGTTTTATCTGTGATTACGGCTCTGTTGTAATACATTTTGTTTGTGTTGTTTTCTAATACTGTCTGTGGAATGTATTTGTAGTGTGGTTCATGAATGTTTAATAATTTGTGTTTCTTTGCAAGCTCTTGGTGTATTATATTTGCTACTTGATTGTGTCTGTGTAAATAATCTGTCTGTGCCAAGAGCTTGCAACCAGAAGTGATGTGTTGTATAGTTTCTGGCATGATGTGACGTTTTCTGCATGTGTCATTTGTGAGTGTTGTATCTTTGAGTATGTGTTTTCTGTAGTTTTTAGTAAGGATGCACCGATTAATCGGTAAGTAATCGGTAATCGGCCGTATCGGCCACTTAGCCGATTAATCGGTATNTATGTAAGATTGATCAATTTTAATTAAATATCACAATTATAAATTTTTTTATTTATATATTTTAGTTAACTGGTGCAGATAGTGAGCGAGGTGGACATACTAGCCGAAAAGATGACCATCGAGGATATGGAAGACGAAGTAGAGAAACAGATTCTGTAACTCCTAAGCAACAATATTTTCCAGATACACGGAGAGAAAGAGATAGTAAGTAATTAAAATTAACATTTTTTTGTTATAAAACTTGCAATTATTTTTTCAATTTATTACATCTAAGTTGATCAGAATGCACTAAAATTTTATTAGTCTTTCAACAAAGAATAACAAAAAGAAAAGTTAGTTTATTGTTGAGTTAATATTTATAGTGTTGCCATTGATTCCCAAACTGCCTCTTTGTTCCATAAATACAATTGGACATTAAATACCCAATTGTATTTAATGCCCCAACCTGGTTTCTGTTGTGTGAGAAAAGCTTGGAAATATTCTTAGAAAAGCTTTTTTACAATTGTCACACTGTGTTATTATTGATACCATATGTTGTTCTCCACATTTGGAAACCATTAACGTAATGTATCTTAACTGTTTTAATGGAGAAAGGGAAAAGTCAGTAACCCAACCCTTGCCTAAGGTCACTGTTTGGTCAGGTTTACCTGCTTCCAGTGCCCCCTGCTCCCCTTGCTTCTTTTCACTTCCCTAGATTTATTTATTACCCCCTAGGGGCAGTAACACCCACTTTGGGAACCACTGGTGTATGCATTTCTTATCCTATTATATTAATGTCTTCATCCTAGTTTTATAATGATCTTTAGTTGTAAATCTAAAAAAAAATGCTTGTTTAATCTTTTATGGTATAGCATATTGTGTGGAAATTGAAGAAACTTGCTTCTAGTCAATATAATGATTTAATAACAAAAAATAATTTCCAATTTGAGATTTGAACCTTAAACAGGAAATTATTTGTTTTTATTGTCACGACTAGGTGCATAGACAGACACTGGGCATTTCTACATCATCTTTATTTGGAACATCCTATAGGCTGATACACATTCTGGGCATAAGCCCCTCATCTGTCAGCTACATAATAAAACATATGAATTTCTCATNAACTGTTTTTATATGGGAATCTCTCCTCACTACCACCTTGGACACTTGCAACACCCCTACGCTCGAGCTGCCTAATGTATGGGTCACGCTGTATAAGCGTTTAAGCGAGTATTAGCAGTCTCTAGTACGCATGTAGCGTGAGCATGGCTCCGCGCATGCGCCAGCTCGTACTTCACGGAGCTTTCTGCTTGTTCGGTTTTCAAATTATGTTTAAATATTTACTTTGTGTTCTTAATGGCTTTAACATAATTTTAGCTTATCTTATGCATTATATTCTGCATTCGATTATTTTTATTTAAAATTATTTGGTAAATATCTGTATTCACCTGAGGACGACGACAATAAGTTCGTTGAAAGTACTAGCGATAAAAAAGAACGCATGTAACGCTGAACTCAGTGTCTTTGTTTTTGTTATTATATATTAATTTGGCGTGTTACCTTTCCTATTGATTACTATTATTATATATTTTGACAGCTGACATTTAAAGGCTTATTTGTAAAAAATTTTGTTTGATTCTGTACAATTTTTATTTTTTTCGGTGTCATCAAATATGGAAAGGTGTCAGCATTATTTTTGGTATATTTTGCTTTTTTATTACCNCTTTTATTATATATTTTGACAGCTGACATTTAAAGGCTTATTTGTAAAAAATTTTGTTTGATTCTGTACAATTTTTATTTTTTTCGGTGTCATCAAATATGGAAAGGTGTCAGCATTATTTTTGGTATATTTTGCTTTTTTATTACCAAAAAATCAAAATGCTGTTTAAGCAAGAAGAAAATTGTGGTGCATGTATGTAGAAGATGTGTTGAGAGAAAGAGAGTGCCAAAACTGGTTTACAAAATTTCATTCTGGCAATTTGAGTATTGAAGATGCATCACGTTCTGGATGGCCAGTTGAAGCCAATGAAAACAAAATAAAGGTACTGATTGATGCAAAGTGCCGAATAACAACATGTGAAATCTCTAAGCGATTAAATTTGTCGAATTGAACCGTTTATGATTACTTGAAATGAATTGGTTTTGTTTCAAAGTTCAATATATGGGTTCCACATGTTCTTAAAGAGATATGCTCTCTTTGGTGGAATTTTAAGGAAATTTGTTTTGAGCTTTTACCAAACAATTTAACAATTGATTTGAAAGTGTACTGCCATCAAGTAAACAAATTGAGTAATATCATTAAACAGAAAAGGCCAGAATTGATCAACAAAACAGGTGTAGTATTTTACCACGATAATGCCAAATTTCACACAAGTTTGGTAACTGGTCAGAAACTGTTACAGCTTAGATGGGATGTGCTTTCACACCAACAATATTCACCAGATCAGGCAACCTTGGATTATTACTTGTTCCAGTCTTTACAAAATTTTTTAAACTGTAAGACGTTTACTTGAAATGAAAATGTCAAAAATCACTTGGATCAGTTTTTTGTAAGCAAACATCAAAAATGTGGAATCATGCTACTACCAGAAACGATGGCAACAGATATTTGACCAAAATGGTCAATATATAATTCAATAAAATATTTATTTATTATAAAAATATTTTTTTTTTCCACGGAGAAAAAACGAAATTATTTTCCGAACAACCCAATATTATTGTGAAATTTTTCAATATTAATACTAGTGTGTGTTAAAATATTTATTTAAAACAATATACAATTAATCTTTTAACAATTTGTTATAATAGGTTTTTCTGGAGAAAGAAAACCATATTTTCCATCAAGACATCATTCTATTGATTTTGATGAATCACAAGGTCCTGGAAATTGTACTCGTCTGTTCAGTTCTTCTTATAACAACAGCTCTCTCTCAAATTCTCAGCCTTCACTTTTACGAAGGCCACATAGCAGGCATGATTTTCGTGATATCCCTTCTTATACAAAGGTATTTAAACTTTATTATATGTTAATTATGATCTGTTTAGTGTTCTTGCTTAAATGACTTCTACATTAATAAAACTTTAATATATTGATTCACATAGATAAATTTATTTGTTAATATAATTATTTAGGAATTAGAAAATTGTTGATTTATGCTTAGTTTCATTGTAAAAACTAGTTTTATAATTGAATTATATGCAGAATATCATCTTAATCATCATCAACTTAATTATCATTATCATAATGATGATAATAATTAAGTTCTTTATAAATCATAATGATTTCTTATAATATAATTATTATGATTAATATTCATTATTTAGTTTTTTTATGATAGAACTCTAATATTATATGGATTTGTATATTAGATAAAATTTATCAATTGTAGATTGAGATGTATTGTACAGTACATACAAACTGTAGCTACTAGATTTCTGAAAACAGATTTTGTAATAATGCTTTATATTGTTATCGTTATTATTATTATTATAAAATTTTCTCTTTGTATACAAATAATTAAAAGTTTACAACTCAAATTTGTTAATAAATTAGAATCAATTTTAACTGTAAAGACTATTTAACCCCTTCATTCCCGATCATTAATTAAATTGATATAAGATTAATATTAAAATACATTAAAAATACTTAAAACTGAAAAAAAATGAAAGAAATGCGTTAATTTTGAAGAAAAACCTTCAAATTTTATTTTCCTTTGTTTCGCCTTTCTGTGAAATTTAACACCGATGAGTCATTGTTTACACAGCTGGGTGACCTTGAACACAGCTGGAGTTGGATTTCCCGGGACATTCTCATAGACGTCTCGGGAGGACAAGGGTTTAAAGTAGGGTGAATATAAGCGACACGGAAATTTTTAAATATTTTTAAAAAATTCAAACTTTTATTGCGATTTCCGACCCCCCTAATTAATTAATTTTATATTAAAAAAAATATATTAATTAAAAAAATTAAAAAACCATTGGAGGTCGTTTTTGACATCAGAAACTAGCTTTAAATAACTTTACCGAATGAAAATCCGTGCGCTACAACTTAGGAACCATGAAATAAAATTGATAAAAAACTCCCATTAAAAAACAATTAAGCCTTAATCGAGCCTTCACATAGGCTCATTAAAATCGCGATAAAATTTTTTTGCGCGGGAAAAAAATTTTGAAAAAATTTGGGGACCTAAAAAACATTCCAAAAATTCAAAAAAAAAATTTTTTTCAAAAATGGCCTTAAGGACCACATTTTTCGTAACGCTATGTAGGCTTGATGTATATATATGTCAATGGAGACTGAGGGGTTAATCTAATGGATGACATTTGTTAATTCTTAAACTTTTTACTAGTACATATAAGTCCTGTCATAACACATTATATAGTAGTAGTAGCAGTAGCATACCAGGCAGCAATTATCTTCCATTGATTTAGATTATGGGTGAGGAGTTCAGCTTTCCCCCATGTCATATTGAGTATCTTCAGATCTTGAAGAGAAGTTCTATGCCAAGTAATCCTGGGGTGTCCTCGTGGTCATTTGGCACCCTGAGGAAAACATTTTATGGCTGTCTTAGGGATCCTATTGTTCTCCATACGAAAAATGGGCTGGCTAATTGAACTCTTTTACTGGCGACAATGTTATGGAGTTTGCACATCCCACTCCTTCAGAGAACCACTTCATTGGTGATATGATCTAATTATTGGATCTTTAACCTGTTCCATTTTGAAATTTTTTCTGTTGTGTGTGACCGCCATGTTGAAATTTTGTCAATGTTAAGCCTAACAAAAAAATTTTTTTTTAAATAATGATTGTGGCTACTGTCATGTTAAAAATTATTTTTTTTTATTTTGCACAAAGAAAATAAATATATTGAAAAATATAGAAACAAAAAAAATATATTTTGAAAGTTCATTTTAATATAAAAATTATGATGAATAGTGATGTGTAGTATAAAAAATGTGCCGATACTGTAACAAGATATATTGGGTTTAACCCTGCAGGTCAAAGGTTTAAACCCCAATATATGTTGGGAATAACACAGGTGAGGTTAAGATTCATCGTAAACATCTCCGTTGGAAGACATTGAGCTTTCTATTGATGTTTTCCAATGTCTTCCAGGACTCATTAGCATAAACAGCTATCGGAATCACGATGGAGGTGAACAGGCAGAATTTGGCTCTCAATGAGATCTGCCGGAAAATGGTCGCCACCTTTCCAATGTGTCCACTTGACATCCACTTCCATGTCGCTGTTTTGGGAAATAGCACTACCCAAGTAGGTAAAACTCTCCACTTCCTCCAGTTATTGTGCTCCAACAATTACTCCTTGCATTTGTGCAGTGTTACTTACATGCATAATTTTTTACTTCACGGCGTTTATCCTGAGGCCAATTTTGTGCGCTTTCCGACCCAATGTGGTTGTGGCATGCTGTAGCGTTGTCTCACTTTTCTCTAATAGGGCGATATTGTCATCAAAAACCAAATCTCCTAGACGATCATGGTCAGACCAGTGGATGCCTGCCCCAATGCATGTACAAGTCTCTTCTGCCCATTGCATGACATAATCAAGGGCGATGAAGAAGAGAAAAGGGGACAGGACACAACCCTGCCTGAATCCTGTCGTAATTTCAAAAAAGTCTATATGACCGACCATCTTCAGTCTTGATGCAACAACTTGAATGCAGGTATAAGGCCTTGAAAATGGTGACAAAGTTTGTTGGTATACCATATAATTGCAGGATCTGCCAGAGAGACTCGCGGTGAACACCAAAAGCCTTCTTGAAATCAATAAAATTAATTGCCATTGGATGTCAATACTCAATGCATTGTTTGATGATATTTTGAAGGGAGAAGATCTACTTGCTGCACGATCTTCCACAGTGAAACCCAGCTGCTGCTCCTGCAAGCACTGATTGAGGGCAATCTGCAGGCATTGAAGGAGGACCACACAAAATGCCTGGAAAGGAGAATGATACCTTGCCAGTTGGTACATTCAGAGATATCTTCCCTCTTAGGAATTCTAACTATATCACCTGTTCTCCATTCCTCTGGTACTTTCCCACACTGCCAGCATCTGTTAAACAATAACATTAACTTTTCCAACGTGTGTTGCCTTCCATGTTTCAAAATCGAGATTTTGAAGCATGGAGGGCAACCCAGCTGCCTTATTATTCTTTAGGCTTTTAGTCGCAAGCTCCTCTTCCTTAAGGGTAATATTGCTAGTGTCCACCTGAAGCTCATTCTGTGTATCCTCAATATCGAAATTGTATATGATGGTCATTTCTGTTTGATTAAACATTTCCCAAAAGTGTTCTATCCATCTCTCATTCTGTTCATCTTGAGCAATTAGAAGCTTCCCGTTTTTGTCTTTTATTGGAACACTGGAATTACTCTTTGTTCCAGTCAAATCATTGACTATGCAGTACAGGATCTTGGGAGTCATTTCAGTCAGAAGCCTTCTGTGCTTTAGCACCCTTTTGTTCTAACCATTCCTTCCTGTCTTTCTGACAACTTTACATGTCTATCCAACTTAGTGTATCTTTGGTTTCCTTCCACCATCTCAGCCATTGTTTTAGCCTGGTCTCTTTTAAGTTTTGTGGTTTTCCTCTCATCAGTCAACTTCCATGAGCAATTTTGGATCCACTGATATTTTCATCTTCCAATGATGTTTTGGATACACTCCATGGTAATGTCTGTGAGGTTCCCCAGAGATCTATATCTGTCATCTCTCCAAGAAGGGTGAAGCGATTGTGCAACTCCAGTGTAAATGTTTTGGTGATGGTTGGATCATTTAATTTTTCTGTCACAAATGGTCTTTTTAGCATGAGTTGCCTTTGATTATGAAGTTTGAGCTTAATATCTGCCCTAACTAGGTAATGGTCAGATTCAATATCTGCACTTCTGTAAATCCTTACATTGTGCAGTGATTACCTCCACTTTTTACTAATACAAATAAAAGCTTTCTCATTAAAAGTGTGCCCATCTGGTGACCACCAGGTCTTATGGATAAGCCAATGTTGGAAGTACGTGTTCCCAACACACAGCCTGTTGTGTTCACAAAACGATGTTAGCCTTTCTGCATTGTCGCTCATATGAGCAGAGGATGCATGAATGCCAATCACAGTCTCAAGTCCTTGATGATCACCGCCCAATTGGGCATTGAAGTCCCTGGTCAGGACCGTTAGGTCATGATTCGGAATACCATCAAAGACATCTTGGAGCTGCTCATAAAATTCATCTTTTATTGTGTCTTCCATATTGTTGATTGGTGCATAAACCTGCACCACAGTCATTTTGACACATCCATGGGTGAAAAGATCATTTGTCCTATTCACAGATGCATCGAACCATGCTATTGGTGGATGTTTAGCACAATTCTTGCTGGAAGGTCAGGAAAGGCTGATAGCCTTCACGAGTCACAAGTTAAAGGTGTAGAGGTCTGATGGGCTCTCGCGTTACAAAGCTATGATATTCAAGTCAAATATCAAAAGGGGAACTACACGGTAAGGCAAGGCATCTCTGCGTGTGGATGAGTAATTTTCCCGGATGTTCCGGAAGTTGGGTCAGTCCAATCGGGTCATCAAATTTTGTAAGATTGTCTTAGTATTGGTTAGGAATCAAACTGGCTTAAGTAAGCTCCGTTTGATCCTCGGCTGTGGAGGTGGTGTCGGGATGGTATTGTTTGGATGTACGTTTCCTGCCCGTTTTCTTTTCAAATGAGCAATGGTCAATGCAGTAGAAACTCTGATCAAGAAACAACCGGTAGTTTTGAATCCATGATCGCTGATTGGCCAGTGATTGTCGTAAGATTGGCGGACGTTCGATAGCGCAATGAAACACTGATTGGTCAATCAGCGTTTTCTTCAATCCATATAATAAGATTGGGTTTAGGCAGGAGAGTCTGACTTGCCGAAGTTTGCCTAAGCTTGTCTAAGTTAGGTTGGTTGGTCAAACAACCTTGCCGAAGAAGGTAGTTTCATCTCTCTGTGCTATAATGAACATCTGAGGA